CGTGGAGCCACTTCCATGATGAGTTCATTGAGTGTCCTCACTGTATACAGCTCCAAACAACAGCTCTGTTGCAGGGAAGTCGTTCCGATGGACGAGTCAATATCACCTGGGATGGATGATGCACCGATGTTCATCGTGTTTTCTATACCTGGAAGTCCCCGGCCAAACACGATCCGCGGCCACATCTCAAGGGTGGAAGAATTTCTTCAATCAACCGCAGGGTGACAGTTGATCGGGAGCATCAATGTCAGAGTGAAAGTTGCTGCTGCTATCTGTTCGTGTCTGTCCAGGGTCAAGAAAATGAGCAACACCAGCAAAGCAGGCACGTGTTGATTACAATTCACGCGGTATAGTTCTCACTGGTCGGATGCCAGAAAGCGCGACAAACGCTGCACCGCGCCGTGCCTCCGGTTGGCCGTTTGGCACACCGCAGGCGGCCGATGAAGAACTTCCGAGCCTTCAAGCCCTGCTCCAGCTGCGCTCGCCTCCCAAACAGGCTCGGCCCCCCTCCGTGCACCCCCGTCCCCCCCCCCCCCGAAAAAAAAGGCAAAAAAAAAAGGGGGGGGGGGGGGGGGGGGGGGTGGTCAATCGGCGGTAAGGGTCGATCTACTCGACCAGGCGGTTTCGCCAGGGAGTGTCGCCATCGCAAAAATGCCAGAGCATCCGATCGCCATCGCATGGAGCATCCACCTATCACCACCGGAACATGGCACCTCAGGTGGGCTCGGAAGGGGCGCCACGCGTCCACCGATGAGGATTCTGCCGTGGGCGTCTCCGTGGACGTCTGCGCCTGGAAGGGCGGAGATGAAGAATATAGGTGAAGACCGAATAACTGGGATGGGTGTCCAGATATGGAGAAATCCGTTGTTTTTGTTTTGTTTTCTTGAGGTTGCTTTAAAGATCGGCATATCCTAAACATTCCTAGACATACGACTTACGAAAGCATGGAGTGGCAGTGAGAGTTTGAGCAATTCGATGCCGCATACTTCTTCTCTGCAATTTGATAGATTGTTGCGCCATCGTCTCCACCTGTGTATGTTCCTCTCGGGCCGCACGAAAGGCCCCCAAAAACGGCGACGAGTTCGTCGACAGATCCCAGCAAATCCGGTCTGTCACTAACATGTGAGCTCAAAGAACAGTCGAAAACATCTTAAAACAAACAAATAGCTATAGATTGTCAGTGTTTGGCCCTCTTTCACACCTCTTTTTTCTATGTCATGTCCATTCAAGCCTCCATCTTTCTCATCTGTTTCATTCGTTTCATCCGTTTCATCCCGGATTCATCCCGGATTCATCCCGGATTTCCTCGTTCTCCTGCACCTCCGCGCTTCTGCGCCTGGGCGTTCTCTTCTTGCTTCCGAGGACGGAGATTCTGGCGAGGTGGGAAGTTCGTTGGAGCAACTAACTGTGGCCCTACCAACTGGTCTACCGCTACCCCAACATGCTATCATTCAGGATCACTCGAGATCATCTCTCCATCTCTCCTCATGCCCGCTGCCCTCTGACCAGCCCATGGTTCGCCTCCGCCGTCGCTTGGGCTTGCTCGGTGCCTGCCAGGCTGCCGAACTGCGAACCGGGGAGATGGAATGAGATGGCTGGATGATGGCTCATGGTATGGATCAACCAGAGATCGATGGAGCAGTCCTGACGGCTCCATCCATCGGGCCATAGCAGGTTGTCTTCGTACGGCTGTGAGTGGTGTGGAAACCGAGTGGGAGGAATTTTGGACTCCAAAGAGTCTGGAGGCACCTTTGGAGTGACCCCAGTTGCTCGGCTGCTGTTAGCAGCCGCTTTTTTTCATCAAGTCTTCTGCAAGACTTCGACCCGCTTGCCATTTCAACCGCTTCAAGATGTTTCTGTAAACTTCAACCTAATGATCCTAAGAGAACATCGAAGTCAACAAATCTATCTGCTCGCACAGGAATGCCTGGGCCTGATGGTGGAAATTAAACAAGGACCTGGAACCTTTGCCAAGCCGAACAACAACGAAATAGAGCTCAACCAAATCCACTTTAGGATGGGGCAGGATTTGGTCTCCTTGATTCTGAATGAAATCTTAAACCGGATGGTCTTTTAGGCCAGGATTTGAGGAAAAAAGATAAATTAAATCTGAAGAATCTCGACTCACCCAGTCATGTACGTCGGACCTTCCTACATGAGGCACAGACAGTCTTGGACCCTGCCAGCTGCTTGGGCTCCTCCGTGGCACGCTGAACCTACACTATCATTGTGGATAGTGGATAGTGCATGGCTCCGATTTCGGATGACCATGTTTCGAAGACCAACAGGTCAGTGTGCAACCCTCTGGTCCCTGGTCGTCTGGTCCCTGCGCCTCCGCCACCGCGGCGGCTCGGCACGCGAGGAGAGGGAACAGCGAGAGGAGCGCCCTCGCACGGGTTCTGCGTGGTGAAAGCAGCGGAGAAGGCAGTGCAATCGATCCAAGTCCAGTCGTTTTAAAGGATCCGAATTGGATCTCCAAGATCCAGGTCTCTCTTGTTAAACATGGTTCAACATGCTTGTTTTGGGCAAAATCACGTGCACCATCGTCCACCAATAGATAGATTTAGATAGATGTTTGTTTGGACAAGATCTAATCATTAGATTCTCCACAGGAAAAGGATCACTCCCCAGGAAGAGGATTCATTTTGAAATGTTTGCTGGTAGAAAGTAAGGTGAATGATCCAGCACCACCCAGTTGAGGAGCTGGTGCTGTAGACCACCCGGGACCCTCACATCATGTGTCCATCCATCTGAATCCATCCCAGTTTGCGGTCATATCATGCCTTCAGGTGGTATAAACCATATACAGTAACTTACCAGGACCCTCCGACAGGTCACCAATTGAGACCTGTTAGGGTCCAACAACCCTCAACTAACAGCCTGTTGGAGGGTGCTGGTATACAACATTGATACAACCCTTTTGGGGGCGGGAACCCGAAAGCTCCAGAAAAGTCCCCTTCCGTGCCGGCTCCCCCCTTCCGTGCTTCCGCTGCAAACCAGTCCGCCTGTTGGTCGATGCGCCTTGGTTTCCGCGGAAAAAATGGCGGTGTGACGTCACTTGGAAGGTGCGTGAGCCGTGGTTTTTGGTTTCTGGCTCGTTTTTTTGTTGAGAAAGTCGTTTTTGTGGTGAGAACCGTCTTGTAACCGTTGTTTTCAGGCTTCTCCTCACAGTTTTGAGTCGGATGGTTTTGGGAAGGTCGTTTTTGTTGTGGTTTTGGACGTCGGTCGCCACGGGTGCTTCAGGGTGGACTTGGCGTCGGATGCTGTGGACCATGTTTGAACGCCGTATTTCACGCTCGGAGCATCGACTCTGACTCAGACGCCACACGTTTGTGGAAGGTTGACTGACTGTTGATGAGTAACCTCTCCGTTTCATCCCGTTGGAGATGTCAAACCGTTCTGGTAAGCAGAGGCTCATCAATCAAGAGTCAACATGATACATTTATATACATTTACAGTACATGTTTCGAGTATGTTCGAGCCATGTGTCTCTTCTTTGTCCTTCATCCCCCGGCACTGGGGGCGCCGGCCGCTCCACTCGTGTCCCAGCCCACTCTGCCGTTCGCGCGGAACGCGCAGCCTCGCACGGACGAAAGGGCTTTCTCACAAGGACAGCATCGTTCGGGCCGGAGAAGGACGACAACGTAAGGACCAGGCGAGCTGTTCTGTATACACGTTCTTACACTGGAATTCCATCATGGAAGTGTCAAAACTCTAAAAAAGTGTGTCAATGATCCTCCCCGTGGGTCTAGCCGCTACTAGCCGGCCTGGATGCTGTGGCAGCGCTTTAGCCACTCGACCGTTGGTGGAGCGAGAGAGATTTCTCATCGGATTTGGGCTGGCGATGCGCCCGCCGTTTCGGAACACGTCAAGAAACCCCAAAAAATCAACTGTCGTCCTCAAGACAGGGACAGAGAGGGAACATGCCAAAAGTAGCACGACAGGGCAAATGGTTGAAGTCATGTGGTTGAAATGTTCCATCTTTGCCCTGGAAGGTCTTCCCCCCCCATGGGCCAACCACTGGGATGGTTCCGTGCCGGCTGCCGGCACGGTGGATGGGCGGTCCATCCCAGACTCCGACCTTTCTATGTGAGCAAATGGCAGCCAGACGAGGGAGTGTTCCACGTCCATCTTCGGAGGACAATAGTGAATTCAACAAAAATGGCTCCAAAAGTAAATCCCCTCCCAACATGTCGTGCAGTCATTTCTATGTATATATATATTATATATCTATTTGGGCAGCTGCATCCCATCCCTCTCATCCCTCCCAGCAGGTGTTGCTCGTCTCCTCGCCTGGCCCAACTTCGGGTCAGCAGGGGCGGTCTGAGCTGCGGCTCCATGGCGAACGAGAAGCCGCGCAAGTGGGGAACGAGAAGGGTTTGGTTGGATGATCCTCCATGTGAGAAACATGTTCTCCATGTTGGATGGTTTGGTTGGATGGTTTGATGGCTTGGTTGGTTTAGGGTTTGGTTTGGTTGGATGGTTTGGTTTGGTTGGATGAACATGTTCTCCATGTTTTCCTCTTGGATGAACCCGATGGATTTGGTGAACGGCGGTGTCATGAGCTGGGTTCCCTGATCTTTGCCGACGTCAATTGGATGGTCGTCCCCACATACTAGAAGGATTTCTGGCTCGCTACATCTTACTACTTGCTCTGACATCTGAAGAGCTCTTTTTGGACCGGCGTGTCCTTTTTGCAGTTCAAAAACCGACGCTTGTCGAGTTTACACAGCCATTCTCAGTGATGTCTTGTCCACGATGTGATCATCTTACTCCTAAATCAGCCAAAGCTCAGAGCTCGGCACATCTCAGCTGTTCAGAGCAGCCGAAAGCTCGGTCATGTGGAACCAAGGAGAGTTCTCATATCCAGCAGTCTGTGGCTTGAACAACTGGACTTAATTCAGCAGCTATAGCACCAACCCCGAAGAATGCAAACCATCAACTGAACAATCTACCTGTCTTTGAAGGAAGAAATCTTGCACCACTCATTTTCTCCATGTAAAAGAGGCTCGTTGGACAAACTCCATCTTTTCCAATGACTCCAAACATGTGACCCTTTCTCCAGTGCACTGCGCATCTTTCGCATCGCACAGCCACAGCCACGGCCGCCTCACAGCCGCCGCGACCCTCCACGTGGTGGCCACCCCAACGAAGGGGGGGCGTCCGTCACGGCGTCAGCCGCCGCTCCAGCGGAAGTCGGAGCACAGCTCCACCTCTTCGCCCTCCTCGCGCGCGAGAGAACGGGAGGAGGGCGAAGGGGGTTGACCCACGGCGGGGGCGGGGCAAAGCCCACAGGCGGCGGTGTGGGACGTGGGTTTTTGCCCGGAAAAAAGGCCGCGCCCCATCCCGGGACTCAACATGGAAGGTCCTGAGAGGTACTATTCAACTTTGGACATCAGAAGCTAAAACCACCACTGGGGACTTGGGGTGCTGGTTTTTGCAGTTACAAAGGAGCTCCAGAGGTTTCACGAGCTTGCATTCATCTTCAGCACGGCCCACCAACACTAAACTCTCTCTGCTTAAGGAACCCGGACAATCAAACGTAAGCCATAGGGAAACTAAAAATCACCCTAAACCACGTTAGACGCGTCCAATGGAGACCCATGAAAGGGACCTGATGAACTGTGGGATATCCAAACGTTTGTCTCTCGGTTCTTGACCAGACGGACTCGAAAAAAAAGGATCGAGAGACCCGCTCAGGTGAGAGCTAGAGCGGCTATGGCGGCTATGAACGTTTGAAAAAAAACAGGCCAGGAATCCATAAGAAACCGATCGGAAGTGGCACCGCGCTAGAGAAGAATTGGTGCCACTTCGCCCGGGCTCGTTCGGTCTACGGTCGCCCGTCGACTGGTTTTGGGTTGCGCCCCTCCTCACCCACCAACAATGCCACTGAGTAGGAGGCCGGCCGCTGGCGCCTCGGTCTTTGACCCCAAGTGAATCGGAATTCGAAGGCTTGAAGATGCATGAAGATACCAAGGTCATCCTATCTGGGTGTCCAATAGACTACCCTACCCTGCTTACAGGTGTTTTTATTGGGCACCCTTTGGAAGTGCTAGGTATGTGTGAGTCAATTTGCAAATCATCGTGAATCGAGACACATGCCAAGCTTGTGGAAAGCCGAAGCGTGTGAAGTCTCCCCCTAGCTCAGTAACCCCTCCTTTGGAGGGAGGGCACTTCGTTCACTTGAACCTGGGAAAAGCGGGTTTTGGATCCCAAAAAAGGGAACCCGCACCCCCGACATCGAATTCGGGGTTCTTGTTGTGGCCGTCCTTTGAGTTGCTTCGGCCTTGGATGACAGAATCCAACGCTTCTCAGCCTTCCCGTTCTGACGTGACCCTGCGAAGCTTGATTTCAGGCTAATCAAGTCGAAGAAGTAACAAGTGAAGAGACCTAATTACTCCATAATATTAACATCATCCTCAAGTTGGGCACGAATCTGCAAAGAATCCAAAGTTTTGATAATCTTCCTCTCTGGACTCTGGCATGTTCCAAAGAGCTTCAAATACACGTACCAAACTATAGATCATTTGGAGTCATCCTTTCTCCTTATTAGTGTCCATCACCCCCGCCAAAAAAAAGAGCAGAACACCTCCCATGTCCCATGTCGCCAGCACACCACGCTCGCGTCAAATCCACGTTTTACCGTTTTCAGCCCGGGCACAGGTCGGCGGTGCAACGGCACACGATGCGCGTAGAGGGTTCCAGGTGCTTGGGCTCACCCAGGAGGCGTAGGTAGAGGGTGTTCCACGAGGAATCCTCAAAACACCCGATCTCACATGGAAGGAGCAAGTGAACGGGTGCGGTGCACAAAATAGGCCCAAGAAAGTTCGCCTATTTGGCTAAACTGCGCCGTGTCTTTGCCACACAATGCTGATTTGAAACAAGTGGCCCTTTTCAATGTGGACATGGCAATTTGTGTGTGTGTGCGCATATGCGCAAGCATGGCAGCTTTGCAACAAGCAAGAACCAATGGAACCTGCTCCGGAACCCGCAGAGCGGTGCTGTCCCCTTCCATGGTGCTGTCCCCTTGATTCATTGCTTCCACGACATGGTGCTGTCCCCTTCATTGCTTTGATGTCTCTCCTGGCCTGGCCTGCACATCGGCCCGGGCCTTTGGCCCGCACACTTATGGATACACACCGACCGACCTAGGGGTCGTCAAACTAACCAGGCTGATAGGAAGGTGCCTTGCCTTAGGGTTTTTTTTACCATGGTTGGCTTGGCTCGGCTTGGTTTCTTCCTGCTCATTGGGTTTCCCCTTCATTGCTTCAACCGTATACATACATTGTTACATAGCACGCCTTGTTCATGTCATTCTGAAAATGTCCTTTCATTTGTCAATTCTTGCACGTGGACATGTGTTTTCAACGCCCCCCATTGGGATATATGTTTGTTGGCGCTGTTGACAAGGTGCCTGAAGCGGCGTTTCACCTAGCGCTATCGTGTGGGACGGTTGTGGATGGGAAGGGAAGGCTGATCAGGTTCCTGTACCTGCTTTAACTTTTGAACCGAAGTATGCCCTGCGCTGTCCACTTCGTTGCTTTGCAGTACAGGGCTAACGGCTAAATGCACTACTTTTTGGAGTCTGGAGCGTGTGGAGCTAGTAGATCTTTGGGAGCTTGTCATTGGCTGGACCTGCATGAACCGTAAGCTGACTTCTTAGGTTTCTTGTGTTACCTAAACCCTCTTCGAGTGGCAAGGTGTGTGTGAAACCGGCCCCAACATTGTGTGGTTTGTTATTTTCGGCCGTCGATAGCCCCGAGAAACCTCGTCTCTGGGGGCTTTCCCCATGTGCTTCGGGGCCGAAAGAGGCGGGCTTTCCCCGACACGAGTGTGCTCCCACGACACCAGGAGCATTCACGCAACAAGAAGTCGGATGAAAAAATGATCCCGGCAAGAGACCCCAAACAGTGTGTGTGTGTGTGAGGTCTGGTGTAGTGGCAGAAAGTCTAGAGATCTAGACGCAGGTCTCAGAGAGGTGATGGTGGTGATGAAGGTGGAGATCGTGGTGATGGTGGCGGTGGTGGTGGTGAGTGAGTGTGAGTGAGAGTGCGAGTGAAGTGGAGATCTGACTACCCAGCACGAAACCATTGACCATGTTTGAGGGAGTGTAAAGATAGCAAGGAGCGACAAAGATGGTCACCTCGTGGGTCATAGAACAGTCTGTGTCGCTTCGGAATACTCTTCCATCTGATGGGTGCTGAGCAGGGATGAGGGAATGGATCCAAAGGAGTCTCTACTATATTGGGTCACTTTCATTCCTTAACCCAGCACATCCGCCTGTCAGACAGCTTTTCTGCCTTCCACATCGGTCGTTCATCACGGATCACCTATATCCGTCGTTGCACCCCGGTGAGCCGATCCGTCGAGTGTTGAGCCCAAGGTGCACTCTCAGCCGTATTGTGAGCATCCAAGACGTCGATGCCTCCGCGCACGAAGGCAAGAGCCGATGCCCCGGACCGTGGACCCGCCGAGGCCACATCCCGGACCGAGAACATGTGAGAAACCCTTGGTTATATACCAGTGTCGAAGAGCCGGTTCGGAAGGCCATTGGGCTCGGTTCCGAGCCAGCAGTAACAACCAGGCAACGGAATGGCCTGGTCAACCAGGCTATTTATGGCTCGGTCGTCGATCGAAGTCTGAAGATTTGCCATGTGGCGCCGACCAGCTTGACCCTCCAAGTAAGCTCTACACCACCTGCCGGGTTTCGCACGGATCGTGCAGGTATGGTAAATGCATATATGCTTGTTTGGAACATTGGACGGTTTGTGAAAACAAACCGCTGCTGTGGTCCTGTGGTTCGTACTTGCTGTAACCATGGCAGATTGGCACCACCAGCTGGCTCACAGTCCGCCAGCCCTGCCCGTAGAAACAATGGCAAACCTTTTCAAAGGTCACGCTGATCACAAGTAGCTTACATTGTGAAAACCCTCCTCTTGAGCCCATGCCATACAAAATCAGCTTCCTCTAAATGAGAAACCTTGCGAACAAGAGAGGGTCCAGGGAAAATTTGTAAAAAGGCCCAAGAAATGAGGAAAACCCTCCACTCCAGCAGCTCCGATCATTGGGGTTGTCGGGCTTCGAAACATGGCCCGAGTTCCCAGCAGCTGTTGATCTTACACACAGTGGACCATCCCAAAAAAAGGAAAGGCCCAAGTTCCCTTGTAAGCTGAATTTAGATATGCGGAGCTCGCCTTCCTTGGACCTATTACACTGTATACAACGTCACCTTTTCGGGATCCCAGCTACAATTGGAGTCGTCCAAATCCACATGCAGATGCATATGAACTCCATCCAGGTCTCCAGCGCGAGTGGTCCTCGCGTGGAGTTGGGCCAGGGTATGTTGGTATGTTGGGCAGGCTATGTCATGGGGTTTGTGATTTGACCAGCTGGGCACCTCATGCAACTTGATCTTCAGCTCCCAATGTCGAAATTCCCAAAGGATTCAAAAAGAACGATCTTCCTGAAGCCATTGTTTGGAGCATCCGTCTGGTGGTTGGGGGGGAGAATAGACAGCCACGCCATCGCTACAAATGCTACAAATCCAGGGCTAAGCGAGAGGGTTCTGGGAAGGAAGACACCAACGCTCAAGTCTTTCCGCCATGTATCTTCCACTTCCCTGGGATGATACTGCTGATAAAACATGATAAAACTGATTGAGTTCATTGAGCTGATTACGGTAAGCCCGCCCGCTGCTGCATGGTTAAACTTCCATGCCAAAAATCATCCTTCTTCCTCATCTTAAGCCAGTGAGGCTCCTGAACTCCAAATTCCTCTGCTGGAAGAGTTCCGGGCCATTCTGGAAGTCCAAATACTCCAGTGCCTAGCTGACGAATGGACCAAAACCCAGCTGTTGCTTGTTTATATGGATTCACCACCGGTTCTGCTGGTTGTATTTTGCAGTTCTATTGAATGGCAAAAGCACTTTACGTTCGGTCAAAGGGAACTCAAAACCCGTGAGAGAGTCCCATTGCTTGCCCCAGCAAGCCCCAGCAAGCCTCACCCCAGAGCACATGTTGCAGCATTGGCACAGCAAAATAACAGCCGGACTCGTCAACAAGCTGACAAACTACCTTGATAAAAATGCTTGCCCATTGCCCACTCTGCCCAAAACATCCAAAAGTAACTGAAGGAACCCCCTAATGGAATGAGTTTCTTGATGTTTAATATCTCCACGCAAACAATTTCACAGTTCTGGACTTCTTCTACAACTGGTTCTGCACTCTCTGGAATCATCATGGTTACGTGGCATGGTTAGGTGTTCACCTCTCTAGTCGGAACATGGCTCTTCCGTCCATGTCCGCATTGTTTGCCACGAAAAACGAGAAAATATCCCAAGGGAGTGTACAGTATCTCTACCAGCACCTTCATCAAAGGGGTCACCTGGGCTGGTTTCACCCTAGCCCACCACGATCAGGGACCTCCAGCCAGGACACCGTCCAGGTATGTATCTCTATGTGTAGTGTGGGTCCCAAAGCACCCAACACCCTGGTCACCATTCCTCGCACCTGCGGCTCGGCCAGCAGCGCGCTCTTGGGGAAGCGCCGGGCGCTGTAGCGGGCGCCGGGCCTAGGGGGGTCGGTTGGTCGGTGGGGGGGGGTCGGGGGCGGCAGCGTCCGTGGCAGCTGAAACTCCTTTTGACCGTCTTCCAGGTCTTCCCCCAACGAAGTCGGACCGGTCAACTTGTGAATTCAGACGAATTCGGAACAGGTCGACAACCCCTGGGTCCGACTTCTTGGAAGATCCTTTTTCGTTCGGGCCCTTCCACTCCTCAGGTCCGAGACTCCGCCCCCAGAGGCTCACTCCAGAGGCACTTCACTCCCGAAGGCCCGGATCCGGTCTGTCTCGTTCGCACCGTCCCAGGCCACCCGGACGTGATGCAGGCATCACCCTGATGGCCAAGGCGATGAATCAACGTCTCCTGGCGGAGGCTTAAGATTGTGAGAGTTGGATGGCACAGAAATCACGAGTTGGGTTTGGCAGTTCTGAAGTTCTGCTATGGTGGCAGTTGGATCATGCAATACGAACCAGACATGTCGAGGCCGTAGAATGCTTTCTACAATGCTGGAAGTACAATCAGATCCTCAACAAAAAGCACTGTCCTTCTTCCCTCTCCAAACCCTGTGCGAAAACAGTGCTCTCCTTCTTCCCCATCATCTAAGCTAACAGTGACTCTAGCCTGGTCTGTTTGGCCAATCAGCAAATGTCCGAACTCTCACCCGAACTCTCACCCAGGCTCTCCCTTCCGCACGCGCCGGCACTGCAGGTCCGTTCCAGTGCTCCCCCCCGCCGCTCCAAGCTGCTCCGATCCAACGCGCGGGTGGGTGCCAACCAGGTGGAAGACGAGCGCCTGGAAGGGGAGGCGTTCGGTGGGTCGAAAAGCGTAGAGAACCGTTTTCGCGAAAACGAAATGGAGGAAGCCTCAGAGGAAGCCTCAGAGGAAGCCTCAGAGGAAGCCTCAGAGGAAACCTCAAGAAGCCCCATCAAACCAAAAGAAATCATTCCAGAAAGCGGAAGTTGAAGCCGTTGGATTCCGGCATGCGATATATAATATATATATATATGCCCAGCTGTGCTTCCCGGCGGCACCACCACACAGTCTGGCGCCAAGAGGCCTCGGTGCAGTGCATTGGACCCACTCTTTCATCACGGTCACGCTTGGGACCCAACGCACCGATGTTCAAAATGATGATGAATGAAAGGAGATGAAAGGAGCCGGAGCGATCCCCTCCCAGTTCGTTTCACCGGTTGCCACCTGTCCTCTTCCTCCTGGCTTGGACAGAACATCTCGTTTTGCAGATACCCTGCGCAGCATGTGATCTCCACCGGTCCAAGAGACCAGTTCCCCATCCCGCAGTCGCCTCGCTGGTGGATGTCGTGGACCACCAAGGCGGCATCTTCGTTCCCGGCCATGTCGCCTCGGGCGGTGCACGAACTCTCCGCTCGGTCAGGCGATCAAGAGCGAGAGCGAGGAGCGAAGAACTCTTCGCTCGGGGGTCCAAGGAGAAGGAGAAGAGTGCCTAGGATGATTCGGTCCAGCGAAGTCTCAAACACGCCAGGCTTCAGAACGCCAGGTCGCCCAAGGCGCGCGCGTTCGCGCTCTCTCTCTCTCTCTCTGTGCACCCCGGCCGAGAATCTCGTGCACCAACATCGTGTAGCCTGCCGACCCAGGACCCACCCCTGGGTGTCGGTGGGACCATCAGGATCCATCGCGGGGTCGTCCCCAGCGGCAGGGGTCGAGTCAGGCACATCACCGGCTACTACGAGAGGCAGAAAAACAACAGAACCTTTAAGCACTGGAAGAGACTACTCGTTTTGGTACCCCTGTCAAGCCACCATGCAGAGAACGCTGTGTGTTTTCGTTCTGATTTGACCCACATTCCTGTGTCCAAATTCAACAGCTGCAGTTCTCACCCCAATGGGATCTACCATGTTGCAGCATCCTAGATGGAGGGAGAAAGGATGAACACAAGAACCGGTTGGAAAACAAAAATCAACATACCAAAGCAAGGTCTTCAAGAAACCAAAAGGAAAACACTCCAAGTACTTAAGTACTATATAGTCCTAATGAGTCCGTTCCCAGTAGTCTACGTCGTAAATACGTCGTCCACCTCTCGCTTCGCTCCTTCCGCTCCTCCGACGGCCCGCCTTTCGGCAGTTGCAGCTCCGTGGACAGGCCACGGCACAAGCGCAGCGACTGCGTCGCGGTCACCGCGTCCTGCGCCGCATCGGCCACGGTCACGTGCACCTCTGCATCGCCTGGCCGCGGTGTCCACGAACGGAGCGGAGTGAAAGGGACTCGACGACCGGTGGAAGGAAGGCGGGCGCATGACCCGCGCCGCTCCAGGCTGACAGAGCATGCATGTGTGGCGTATTGGGCAAGCAGAAGACGTGGAAAACGTTTCTAGAGTTCTAAGAGGATCTGACTAAGGGCACGACCCCCTCAAAAACACCAGGACTAGGGAGCGACGGAGTTATAACTCGTGGAGCGATGGAGTTACAACTCGTGCTTGGCAACGACCAAAGACCACCGGTCTCTGAAAATCCAGAGAGGTCGGTGAAACTCGTCGTATCTGGTAGACCGCCAGTCGCCGCGGTTTTTTGAGCCACTGCCCTTGTCTCCCAGTGACAACCGTTTGCGGTGCTGTGTGGATGAAAATAGGGCGACCTGAAAAAGGCGTTCCGACCCTGAAGAAAGAAAATGGACCGGTCTGCCCAGGTTGGAAGGAGGTTGGAAGGTCCCCCCAGCCAGGTTGGAAAGTCCCCCCAGCCAGGTTGGAAAGTCCCCCCAGCCAGGTTGGAAAGTCCCCCCAGCCAGGTTGGAAAGTCCCCCCAGCCAGGTTCGAAAGTCCCCCTATTAAATTACACCCATGTTGATTGGCTTTTCATGGTCAAGTGGACCATCTTTTCATGCATTGGTCCGCCAAAAGGGTGGACGGGTCCGATGTGCCATTGGTCCGATGGTCCATCGGACCAGCCGCCGTCTCACCTAGCTGCGAGCTCACCAACTTCTTCCCCCACACCACACCTGGTCTTAGCTAGCGTCAAAGAAATCACACCTGGTCGGATTTTGCATCATCCGAAAATATGCCAGAAAGAAATGCCTTAATATAGCTTCTTCTTATTATTATTGTTATTCTTCTTCTTCTAAGATCAGAACCCACTTTCTTAAAAAGCCGCCAAAGGGAGGCATCTGCTTCGGCCTCCATTTCCGCCGCGCACCGCGAATCTCCGCCTCCCTGTCCAAGTCAATACCCTTAGGGGTGGTGTGTCCTCCTCCTCCCTGGCGCCTTCCTCCAGCTGAGTCACCTTCAGGTTCGCCCACTCGGGTAAGAACCGCTCGCTGCTCTGGCCGCGCACCTCAGATGCGGTACGTTGGCAGGTCCGCTGAGAGAACGAGCTCTGTGGAGGATGTGGCGCCTGGCGTGTTCGTCTTTCGCCAAAAGGGGGGACAAAAACCCGATGGAAAAAGTCGGATCAGATCCCTTCCGCGGATCCCTTCCGCCGTGGATGATGCCTTTTTGTGGGTCCTCCGTTTAAAAACGCCTCACCAAATCTGACTTCTTCGGGCCGACGGGGTGGGAAAGGGAACCAAACGAAAGGGGATATTCCTCTACTTGGTCTGACAGCATCGCACCGGGCGTTCTGGAAGATGCAAAAAGCACGAATCCATGGTCATTCCATGGCGATGGCCCATGGCTGAGCCATGGGTCAAAGAACCATCTGTCATTCGGTGCCACGGATGGATCATTTCTGGGTCGCGGAACCGGATGGAGTAGGATGGACTCTGCAAATGAGGTGGGCACGTGCCCTGGCTGTCAACTTATCAACTTCACTTGCGAGCAAAGAAGGGGTTCACAGAAAGGCCGTTTTCGGGGCATGTCGCTGCAGATTCCTTGAAGTTCAGGCCAAGAAGAATCATACACCCCTGCCAAACTACTACTGATGGTGGAAAAAAAGAACAACTCACCACCTTAGCATCTTCCACAAATTCACAAATGCCACACACAAGATCTGACAATCCACCCACCCTAGCACCACACCCCCCCCGCTTCTTCGCCCCCCACGCCTCTGCCTGGAAGCACTGCACGGCTCGCTGCACCGACGCCTCCGAGCTCTCCACCGCATCGGCGTGCCGCGCGCCCGCGCGGAGGCAGAGCCGTGCCAGGAAGCACACGGGCCCCGTGCCTTGCGCAGAGGTCGAGGCCAAGCAGGAGGTCTGTCTGGACCAGGTCTGCAGGAGGTCGAGGAGCTTCCGTTCGACCCTCTTGGTGTGGAAACGACCCTTCGTTTGGTGTGAAGCCCCCGCTCATCGTCGCTCCATGGAAAGTGGCATGTGCAAGATAAACAAAAAGGCCTTGGGGGAGGATAGATCACGATTCTTCGAACCCTGAACGATTGAAACCCAAGAAGTTGCGAAGGAACCATGAATTCAGAGCCTGCAATCACTGTGACTGACTCTACCCGACCCGAAACTCCCAACCAACAATACAATTCCATACAAAACGATATACTCAGTACCCTCCAAACAGCTCCCTCGTTGACGGTTGTTGTCCAAATCTCAAGTTGTGGTCTGAGAGTCCTGGTAAGGCAAAATTGTGGTCTGAGTGTCCTGGTAAGGCAAAAGACCAGCAACCAATGGGACCCAAATTCCCCAAACCCTCCTTTTGAGCGCCGCCTATGTCCAGCACGCGTCGCCCGGCTGCCACCCGCCGTAGTGCGGCCGCGTAGGGGGCCACGCGCGTCTCGTCGTTCACCAGCGCCTCATGGTCAAAGCAGACCTCGGTCGGTTGAAGGCGTCGGTGATGGTGGCAACGGCGGTTGAACAGGCCTGGAACGAAAAATGGATTCATCCACCACTGATTTCGGGCGGTGAACATATTAGAAATATCTATAATAATGGCGGTGTCCAAAAAACCTTTCGACTCCAGTGGTGCTGGATCGATTGGTTTCTTTTGGTATGCAGGCAGGTCTTGCGAATTTCTTGGTTTCGGTGCTTAGGAAGGAAACACGATAAAGAAAAAGGTAAATACACCGACTCCAACTCCGGCGAACACATGGAAGTAGATCACATGATGTGAGAACACGAGTTGTTTCTGTACAAGCAGAACTGGCAGCGAACGACCCTCGGGCTTACGGGGGCTATGATGATTGACGCTTTTCATTAGAGCGGGGACCTGTGATGACCTATGTGATTGATTCTTGAACTTACCCCGGAGCACTCAAGTTTGCGCGCATCAAGCTCAAAGCCTTGGCTAAACATTCACGCCTTTGGACGCTTTGAAAGATTTGGTTTTTCAATTGGGGCTGTTCCAAGGGTGAAAACTTGTTCCGGCCTCGGAAAGAAAAGTAATATATAAGCCCGTTTACTTTTTCCGCCAGCACCTGGGAAGGGTTCTCCGTAAAGAACGGCTACCAACTTCAACTGTTCAACTATCATCATCATCATCATCATCATCATCATCATCATCATCATCATCATCATCA